GTAAGAAGAGACCTTGGAATAAAAAGTTACAGTAGGTCTATAGTTGATGAAGTGACTTATGGACTTAATTCAAAAGTTTCTTTACATTTATTTATCAATAACCATTCTTTAAAACAACTTAGCAAATGATACAGACATATAGAAGTCTCTTCCTAGAATAATTTCCATACCATGAAATAAATTAATTTTAAAGAGTAAAGACAGGCCGGGCGCGGTGGCTCACGCCTGTAATCCTAACACTCTGGGAGGCCGAGGCGGGCGGATTGCTCAAGGTCAGGAGTTCGAAACCAGCCTGAGCAAGACCCCGTCTCTACCAAAATGAAGAATTATTGACAACTAAAAATACATATAACAAAAAAAAAAAAAATTAGCTGGCATGTGGGCGCATGCCTGTAGTCCCAGCTACTCGGGGAGGCTGAGGCAGAAGGATCGCTGAGCCGGAGATTGAGGTTGCTGTGAGCCAGGGTGACGCCACGGCACTCACTCTAGCCTGGGCAACAAAGTGAGACTCTGTCTCAAAAAAAAAAAAAAAGAGTAAAGACAGAAGGAGGGAGGAAGAAAGAAGCTATAGTACATTATTTTAAATAAGCACTTGCTATTAATCAGGATTATCTTCATTATACCTGTGATGATTAATTTTATGTGTCAGCTAGAAAAAAGTATTCAGATATTTATTTAAACATTATTCTGTAAAGGTATTTCTTTTTTAGGTAAGACTAAAATTTAAATCCGTAGACTTTGAGTAAAGCAGATTCTCCTTCATAACTTGAATGTGCCTCATCCAAAAAGGTGAAAGCCTTAATGGAAACAAAACTGACCTCTTCAGAGGAAAAGGAAATTCTCCCTTCAGACTGGAACTGCAACTCTTTGCCAGGTCTCCAGCCTACCAAGCTACCCTGCAGATTTTCAACTTACCTTACATACACATACCACACTGGTTCTATTTCTGGGGAAAATCCTAACTAATACAATCCTCTAACCATCAAATTCATCCCTCAGTAAGTGATTTCGTCACCAAGAAGTCTAATCACACAACCACCATAAAATTCATCCCTCAATGATTTCATCACCAAGTATAATCACACTACCACCATAAAATTCATCCCTGAGTAAATGATTTCATCACCAAGTATAATCAAACTACCCTTTCCTTTTTGACATTATTCAATAAATAAATTCTATAAAAACAAATGTCCTTAATCATACAGCTAGGAAGGTTGAAAAAAAAAGGAGAATCTTAAAATTGCAAAGCAAGATAAGCTATGCAGGTAGCTGAGTTCCACAAACACACCTTTTTGTGGGGCTTTCACATGTCTGCATAAACCTGACATACTGAAAACTTTCACTTACAAACTTTCCCTTCTTGAATATGGTGCTGAGTTCCTCTAGTGAATTTATTATTTCGCGCTTTAGATCTTTTCAAGTACAGAATTTCCCTTTGGTTTTTATATAATTTCTAATTCCTTGTAGAGATTTTCTATTTGTTGAGTTATTGTCATACTTTCCTTTAAGCCTTTAAACATAGTTAAGTTTTTAGAAGATATGCATAATTGCCCATTGTAAAATTCTTGTCTGCAACATTTAATACCTGGAGACAATCAGATATGATTTCTATTGTCTGCCTTTTGTTCACTATACCACACTTTCCTATTTTTTGGCATGTCTCACAATTTTATATTTGGAAATAGATACTTTATATTATATGGCATAACAATTCTGGATCCTATGAAATCTGTTTTCTTCCATAATATTAGTTACTGATCTCCACGCTTAATTTTACTATTTTATTCTTGCTTTATTTTAGACCCTGACTTCTGGGGAATTGCCCCTGTGTCTATGCATCTTAGTGGTCAGCCAATGATTCAACAAAGGATTTGCTCAAATACTATAAGTCAACAAAGTTGTTGTCCTGTTGCCAAAGGATCTGCACATCTTTCCAGAATTTTCTTTCCCCTGAACCCTTTTATGACTCCTCTGCATGTCCATGAAGGCTCAGTTAACCATTACCTTAGGCTAAAGGAGCCACTGCCCTTGAAATTCACATGCTACCTATATAGTAACCTTCACAGATAATGCTGCTAGGCATGTACAACACCAAGCACAGCAGGTAAGATATCATTATTCCTCATAGCCTTCCTCACCCTGGAAGAACCGCTACACCAACAAAGCCTGGAAGGGGGAAAGAGTAAAGTGCGATGGAAGCAGCTATAAGCACGAATGCCACAGATTCCCACTGTTGTTGTGCCAAGTTTAACAGTTTCCCAAGTTTAAACACTTTTCAGATGGTTGGTTGCATGCCTTTGGTTGAGTTCCAGAGCACTACAATAGTTGTTTTCAGCTGTTTTGTAGATGGACTTAGTGCTAAGTCACAAACTCCCATGATTGTTTTTGTTCTGTTATGGTTTTTTTAGGTTTTTTTTTTCATTTTGAGAACAATTTATTCCAGCAAATTTGCACATGAGGACATGAAATAATTTCACTTAATCTGTACCAATGTTTCATGCAAAATCTTAAATTTAAATGAATCACTGTAGGTAATCTGGTGAATTTCTCCACATTATTTTCCATCACTCTAAGATTTTTTTGTTTTCTCGTATTTGGAATTTTTTTTCAGCAATCTGAGGTGAATTCTTTTGTGGGACTAACTACATAAAAAAAATAAGAAAGCTTTCCATATGCTTTTCATGCACTTTCTGTTAAATTGAGTAAGGTAGCTGATTTTCATACTTAATTTATGTAGTTTGAAAAATCCCCCAAACAAAACAAAATCCAAACAGGTGGTTTGTAGTGAAGGAATACAACAAGCATTATTATTATAGACTAGGACAATTCTTTTTCTAATACAAATTACTTGGATAGAATAAAGTAGACAGCTCATGCTGAGAAAACTGAAATGCAGAAAATGCAAAAGTAAAAGGACAGACAATACACTCAGATCCATGTCTCAGGCATGGATCTCTGGATGTTTTTTGAGACAGTGCCTAGCCCTGTTAGCCAGACTAGAGTGTGCAGTGGCATGATAGTAGCTTACTCCTGCCTCAAACTCCTGGGCTCAAGCAATCTGCCCACTCAGCCACTTAAGAAGCTATGATTACAGACATCTGCCATCACACATGGCTAATTTATTTATTTATTTATTTTTTATAGAAGTGGGGTCTCACTATGTTACCCAGGCTTGTCTTGAATTTTTGACAGCAACAGGTGTAAGCCACCATGCCTGGCCAACTCCCATAATTCTTAAGTATTTATTCCAGTTTCTCTTCCACTACTAAAGCTTTATAACCTATGTTGCAAGTCCTACTTACTCTTCTACATCTACTGCAATATTTCTCATTCCTTAAGACCCAACCTATGCTGCTCCTTCCCAATAGGTTTTCTCTCATTAATCCATGCACACTGATCTCTCTCTTCTCTGGATTCATATCAAACATCAATATTAATTAATTATTTTGCGTGTGTTGCGCTTTTTCTTCTCAGCCAAGTCTTTGAGGAAAGAAATTGGATTTTCATGATTTTCTATCCTTATCCTATACCTGGCAAAGTGTTGAATACACAGTAAATTCTCAAATGCTTTAATGTCTACTTCTATCCAAAAATTTACTCTTAAAGAAATTTGACTTGTAGCTCATGAAGTCAAATCATACCCCTAAGAAGCAATAATCAAGACTCTTTGTCAGTATCAATCTCTGATGTTCAAAAAAGAAAAACTCTATGATTTAACCATGTTATACCATTTAACAAATTCTTTCCTTTTCCAATGCCCCAGTACCTCATGATCTAAAGTGCATACCATGAGCTGAAGACTGTGGCAGAGGCTGCTACTGGCCAACTTGATATCCATTTGATAATCTTCCTTTACTAACAAAGCCATAGTGACTTCCCAGCTTTCCTTGTAGCTAGGAATTCAATTTGAGGAGATACACAAACTGAAAGGCAGCAGCCATCTTTAGAAAGAAAAAGGAGTCACACTATAAGGATGTCAAAGCTAGAACAAACCTAGGTCACGGATGACATAACTGGAACATTCTACTAGCCCTGGACTTCCTATCCATAGGCTTCTAATGACATGATTTGTGTTGGCCATGGTAACATTATGAGCACCTGAACATAATTCTCAATTGGAATTATATAACGAAAAGGTCACTATAAAACTGATAATTAATTTATTATAAACCTTGGAGAAGAATACTATTTCCATTTAATATCTGAAGAAAGTAGAGAAAACATCTGACTTTATGATTAATAACAATTCATCACCTTAGTCCATAGCCCTCTTATTGTCAAAAATGCAACTAGCATGGAAATAAGAGCATGCTTGCTTGAGTTTGAATTACTAGCTCCACTGTGTGAAGTAGTGCCTCAGTATTTCTAGACTGCAAAATAGGAATAAGAATGGTATTTTTTCAGGATATTATTGTACGGAATAAAAGAGAAAACTCATGCAACACCTATAGAGCAGTGTCAGGCACATGCTACATCATCAATAAATGTCAGTTGCTGTTAATAAAAATAATTTTCATTACATAATAAAAATAAGTTATTATTATTACCACCTAATAGTAACTTCTACTCTGCTGTAAAAAGGCGATCATGTAAAAGTGAATATAACAAATGGAAAAACTTGTTTCATAGGTCGAAAAAATAAAATAAAATGAAAAAAAATAATAAAATTAAAGAAAAAATTTTTTAAAAAGTGAATATAGTGGAAACACATAAACTAAAAAATATTTTCTCAATGATGGGAATAAATTCTAATCTAATATTTGTTTTCTTTTGGCTCCAGCTATCACCTTGCATATGAAAAAATAGAGAGCAGAAAAACAAAAAGTTTAGTGACTGAGTCACTAACTATGAAAACCCTAAATATATTTTACTTTGTTTTTCTTCTCTCTTATGAGAGCTTAGCCTTATAGTTACAAAGATTTTATAGCATCAGTTTTCCCTCTGGAATAATACAAATTTGTAATAGGTGATTCAAAGAATTTTTTAAATTTCCTTACCCCGAAGATCCAATGCTCTTACAAACACCAAGGAGGGGTCTTTTTTCAGCAAAGTTGTCACATTTTTGAGCACCTGATAGGGAGCATAAAACAAACTGTAAACTTTGAGAAATATTCTTGTATACTGCCTGTTATTTTCATGATTTCAAAATACTTACAACTGAGAACAGAGAAAACTATTCATTATAAATTAACAAACTTTACAGTGAGCAAAAAATAGAAAAGCTAAATAAACCAACATCATTTAAAAAATTGAACCAGCATTTTTAAAATGTTTTGTAAATTGGCACCACTGACAATCTTATACACATTCTCCATGAGATCAGAAAACCACCACACACCCACCAACTAATTATATGAAACTAGTATGATCCTGATATCAAAACTAAGTAAAGGAGGCTCAGGACAGGAAAATTATAAAATTTTACACCATTCTCACTGATATACATAAATGCAAAAATCCCAAGTAAAATATTAATAAAGTAAATAGCAATATATTAGAAAAAAAATAAAATCTCAGAACCAAATTAGATTTACTCAAGTAATAGTAATAGTTTAACATTATAAAATCTATTAAAGTAATTCATCATATTAACATTTCGGCAGAGAAAGAATTCAGTTAGATTCTGTATCTAGTCATAAAAAGAACAAAAAAAAATATGTTTTTAACCCAAAAATGATCTACAAAAGACCAACAGCAAATTTTACAGGCAATAGTTTAGAGTATTCCCATTAATATCAGTAAATAAAAAAGGATACCCAGTGTCGTCGCTTCCATTCACCCCTACGGTGTAAGTCCTAGTCAACATAATAATAATAAACGAACTCAACAATATTACAGGATATGGAACTAATATAATATCAGCAAATAAGCAGAAAAAATAAAGTCAGGGAAATATTTGTACAGAATGGCTCTGAACCACATGAAAAGATGGTCAACCTCATACATGAAAGAAATTCCTTAAAACTTTATTGAAAATGGGTTATTGGAGTTCAGGACAAGCCACCTCCAAAACATGCATCTTTGGCCTACTGATTATTTTGATCTAAAGGCACCTGAAAAAAAGTAGATTCAAGAAGGGCACTCTGACCTGCCCTTTGATTCCAATAAACAGGAAAGACAAACACCATGAGAAAGATGACCTTCCTATATCAGGAGGAAAGAAACATTCTAATCACCAGAGATAGAAAGTCAAGGATGAGAGAAATTTGTACAAACTTTGTTAAACTAACCCGATCTTCCTAGGGACTTCTCCATAAATGCCACTCTTTGTTCAACCAAGTATATAAGAGCTTAGGCCTAGGCACTTCTTTTGACTCTTCATTTTTCTGAGAGGATACACATGTACATGTAAAATTTTATTAAATAAAATTTGTTACCATATACTGATAGTTTCATCTCTGGTATCTCAGATCTATTCCAGGTATGGATGCTTCTGTTCTTGTGCCAGTCCCAGGCTGATTTAACTATTATTGCTTTATAGTACAGCTTGAAGTTAGAAAGACTGATGCCTCCCAGTTTGTTCTTTTTACTTAAGATTGCTTTGGCTATACGAGGTTTTTTCTGGTTCCATACAAAGTGAAGAATTATTTTTTCTAGATCTGTAAAGAATGCTGGTGGTATTTTGATGGGGATTGCATTAATTCTGTAGATCACTTTAGATAATACTGACATTTTAACAATATTGATTCTACCGATCCATGAACAAGGTAGATTTTTCCATCTGTTTAAATCATCTGCAATTTCTTTTTTTAGTGTTTAGTAGTTCTCCTTGTATAAATCTTTCGTATCTTTTGTTAAATATACTCCTAGATATTTAATTCTCTTTGGGGCTATAGTAAAGGGTATTGCGTCTTTGATTTGAGTGTATATTGATATTATAACTGAAACTTTACCAAATTCATTTATTAAATCTAGAAGTCTCTTGGATGAATCCATGGGGTTTTCTAGGTATAATATCTTATCATTGGAGAAGAGCGAGAGTTTGATCTCATCTGCCCCAACTTGGATGCCCTTAATACCCCTCTCTTGCCTGATTGCTATAGTCAGGACTTCAAGCAGTATGTTGAATAGAAGAGGAGATAGTGGGCATCCTTGTCTAGTTCCAGTTCAAAGAGTGAATGATTTCAATTTTTCCCCATTTAGAATGATATTAGCAGTGGGATTAAGGCAGACAACAATATACAATGGGGAAAAGAATCCTTCTTCAATAAATGGTGCTGGGAAAACTGGTTAGCCACGTACAGAAAAGCAAATCAGGATCCCTACCTCTCACCTCTCACAAAAATTCAATCAAGATGGATAACAGACTTAAACCTAAGGCATGAAACCTTAAGAATCCTAGAAGAAGATGTTAGGAAAACCCTATCAGACATTGGTCTAGGCAAAGAATTTTTGAGGAAGACCCCCAAGGCAATCACCGCAGCATCAAAAATAAACAAATGGGATCTGATCAAATTAAAGAGTTCTGAACACCCAAGGAAACTATCAGTAAAGGAAATAGCCCACAGAATGGGAGAAAATATTTGCCCTCTACACTTCTGATAAAGGCCTAATAACAAGAATCTACCTAGAACTTAAAAGAATTAACAAGAAAAAAAATCAAACAACCCCATCAAGAAATAGGCAATGGAAATGAACAGAAACTTCTCCAAAGAAGACAGAATAATGGCCTGCAAACATATAAAAAAAATGTTCAACATCTCTAATCATCAGAGAAATGCAAATCAAAACCAAAATGAAATACCACCTAATCCCAGTAAGAATGGCCTGTATCAAAAAAACCCAAAACAACAAATGCTGGTGAGGATGTGGAGAGATAGGAACACTCTTACACTGTTGGTGGGACTGCAAATTAGTGCAACCTTTGTGGAAAAGACTTTGGGGATACCTCAAACAGCTAGAAATAGAAATATCATTTGACCTTGCAATAGCATTGTTGGGCATCTACCCAAAAGAGCATAAGACATTCTAGCATAAAGACATCAGCACCCGAGTGTTTATGGCAGCACAATTCACTATTGCAAGGGCATGGAAACAACCCAAGTGCCCATCAATTCAGGAGTGGATAATTAAAATCTGGTATATGCTCACAATGGAATATTACTCAATTCTAAGAAACGACAGTGAACTAGCACCATTTATGCTATCCTGGATTAAGCTTAAGCCCGTTATCCAAAGTGAGGTGACACAATATCAGGAAAATGGGCTCCGTACCTACTCGCCATCAAATTGGTGCTGACTGATTAAAACTATTGTGCTCAAATGGTGGTAGTGTTCACCAGGGATGGGGGGGGGCATATCCTAGGGATATGGCGAGCATTGTGGGTGGGAGGGAATACCTCTAACCCTTCTTAGGCAGATGTCAAAAAAAAACAAAACTTTTATCAGGTGGTGGGCAAGTGGGAGGGAGGAAGAGGGGAAGGGTGTATAGTTACAAAATGGGTACGGTGTACACCACCTGGGGGTTGGACAGGCTTGAAGCACTGGCACGGCGGGGGGGGAGGGGTGGCAGGGGCAATATATGTAACCCCAACAATATTTGTACCCCCATAATATAATGAAATAAAAGGGAAAAAAAATTTGTATGATTTTCTCCTGTTAATCTCTTTTATGTCAGCTTAATTCTTAAGCCCAGCCAGAGAACCTTAGAGGTTAAAGTAGAAATTATTCCTCTCCAACAATACTATGGCTATATTTTTAAGATACCTTATCTTTCATAAACAAGTAATAAAATATTAACCAATAAACTGATACGATATCTGGAACATGTTTCAAAATAATCTGTAGAGAGGGGAATAAATGTTAATAAAACAAGATTAGTCATACAATAATAAAGGATGGGTCTTAGGGATCATTATACTACTCGTACTACTTTTTTTTTTTCATGTAATGTTCATTTGTTTTTTGGTTTGTTTTTCTTCTTTTTAAGACAGACTCTCACTCTGTTGCCTGGGCTAGAGTGCCATGGCATCAGCCTAGCTCACAGCAACCTCAAACTCCTGGGCTCAAGCAATCCTCCTCCCTCAGCTTCCCGAGTGGCTGGGACTACAGGCATGCACCACCATGCCTGGCTAAATTTTTCTATATGTTTTTAGTTGGCCAATTAATTTAATTCTATTTTTAGTAGAGATGGGGGTCACGTTCTTGCTCAGGCTGGTTTCGAACTCCTGACTTTGAGCGATCCTCCCAATCCAGCCTCCCCGAGTGCTAGGATTACAGGCATGAACCACCACACGCGGCGGCACACTATTTTTAAAAAAGAAATTTTCCACTTAAAAAGACTTAACGGGCTGGGCGTGGTGGCTCACACCTTTAGTCCTAGCTCTCTGGGAGGCCGAGGCGGGCGGATTGCTCGAATTCAGGAGTTTGAAACCAGCCTGAGCAAGAGCAAGACCCTGTTTTTACTATAAATGGAAAGAAATTAATTGGCCAACTAAAAATATATACAAAAAATTAGCCGGGCATTGTGGCACATGCCTGTAGCCCCAGCTACTCGGGCGGCTGAGCCAGCAGGATCACTTGAGCCCAGGTGTTTGAGGTTGCTGTGAGCTAGGCTGACCCCATGGCACTCACTCTAGCATGGGCAACAAATCGAGACTCTGTCTCAAAAAAAAAAAAGACTTAACGATGTTGACATACATTGAATTTACCTAAGAGCTTCTCAAAAAAATCCAAAAGTATGATCAAATTTTCTCACTCTATTAATCAAAATTGAATACAAATATGTGTTAATCCAAAAAAATCACAACTAGGACTTTGTCCTAAACAATTTACACTCAGAAATGAGAGAAATAACTGTTTATAAGATTATTCACAACCAGGCATGGTGGCTCACGATTGTAATCCTAGCATTCTGGGAGGCCGAGGCAGGAGGATCACTCGAGGTCAGGAGTTCGAGACCTGCCTGAGCAAGAGCGAGACCCCATCTCTATCAAAAATACAAAGAAATTAATTGACCAAGTAAAAATATATATGGAAAAAATTGGCCGGGCATGGGGGCGCGTGCCTGTAGTCCCAGCTACTCAAGAGGCTCAGGCAGCAGAATCACTTGAGCCAGGAGTCTGAAGTTG